CGTAATCTTATAAGACAAACTAGATCAAATTGAAATCTCGACTCTTGTGATCTGATGGTGAAGTCTAAAGCCGTCTCTAGTTGCACTTCTTATCAAGACTTAACACACTAATTAATTGTTTTTGTGTTACGTAATTGTTTATTTAATTAATTCAGATTACATGTGCCATCAGATTTTAATTATATTTGTACAGTATTTATAAGTACAATTAAATATATATATATATATATATAACAAGCATTTTTCTTATAAACAGACAAGAATTTTTCAAATTCAATATAACTAATTTTAGATCAAAGGTTTCACACATGAGTTAAGGTTGCATTTGATAATTGGCAGCCATTTTGTAATACTAGGTGAAACCTGTCGAAATCGGTGGTTACGTTCAAATCTTACACTAATTCTTTCTGCTGTTATAAATAGAGTTCTAAGAACATGTACACATGATGCAAAATATCTTGAGAAGTTTCACTACTGAAGTAAGATTTACCAAACAGTTGGGTTAGTAAATTTTCTTCGTAAGAAATACATTGGGATTTTGATGGATTTTGGCTATTTTGGGGCAAAGCCCGAGGACTTTTATTACAGGAATTGGTGAAAGGGGCGTGTACACAATAAATTCCTTATAATTTTGACAGATCGTTTGTTCAAATTCATCTATTATTAACGGAGGAGTAGTGTTTCACAGAAATCACCTCCACGCATTATATATAGGGATAATTCTTTCAAAACACAAGAATTTACCTATGTTCTAGACTGCGAGGGCAGGTTCTTATCTAATAAAAGCACTAATTGCACAAGGATATCATACATATCAAACTCACAGCCTACCTTGGGAAAATAAAGAACATATCTATCTTTATTTATTGTTCATGAGGTTGTACTGCTCTTAAAGCCTAGCTTTGTCCTAATTAATTTAGGCATCAGTTTATCTTTAATTTTTTCCACATAAGTCTCTGGTCTGTGCCTAAAAAAAATTCGAAGCAAAGCAAAGTTGGGAATAACGATCGGAATAAAGTTTGCTGATAGCTTTGAATAGTGCACACAGGCTCAGACCATATGGCCGACTATGTCTGAGAGTCCTGCTCGTTCCTAACCCAGCATTCTGAATAATTATTGAAGTCCGAAACCATATAAACTTGTTTAATACATTTTATGATAAACTTAATGTATTATGATTTTTACGATACATTTTGGGTTTGGTATGTAACACTCTTATGGTTTTTTTTTTATATTAAGATTCATTAAATGAGATGGGGCTCCATTATTAGGTATGTTCCATATTGGTGTATGATGTAAGTCTATTAGTGTATGGTTGTGTTTTATTCCCAAATGTCTTGAAACATTTGTTTGTGTATGATTGCCAATTATAAGTGTTTCTTAATGTTGTTATTTCCTTAAACCATTGGTAAAGGCTGCTGGATTGGAGTCTCTAAGGGCTCTATCAACCAGAGATTAGAAACGTAATTAGTCTAACTGAAATTAACATTTGCATTTCCGCATAGTATTATGTCTTTATCTTTTTCCTTCAGATAAAATATTTTCTATATTATAAATATAAGTGTCACTGTAAACATATTATAGCTTTTCCATTACATTTATTAATCAATGTATTTTATATTACGTCTGAGGCGTTATATTCCTTCGTTAGAGCTATCTGAGATTAGAGAGAACCAGACCAATCCTGGATGAATAAATTTAATTAACACTCGATCTCAATTGAAGGCAAATGGTTTGATTAGAATCAGACTGTATTAGCAATTTAGAATACATCTTGAGGTTTTGTTAGATTTTTCCGAAATGTAAAAAGTATTTATTATTTTACGGAATAATCTAAAGCATAGTTACTTATTTTGAGCGAAACCATTCCTTTTAGTCAAATTAAATCAGTCAAATAGAAGATTGAAAATATAGCAAAGTTTTTCTTAGTCTCATAAACTCTTAAATTATAACATTATAAATATTATTTTTTTGCAAAAAAGTAATACTTAAATTAATATTGTAACAGTACGGTAACAAAAATTTGAAAACATCTAAAAGCACACTTTTAGAAAAGGAGCTCTTGATTTCAATCCACACAATGAAACGCAAGAATATATGGGTTGCATTGCTATATGAAGTATACGGTTTGAATAGGTTTGAGATCCAATCATGTTGGTTAAGTCTTTATTTAAAATTGCTCTTAATCTATTTTACGTTAAAAACATATATTGTAACTATATATTTATTGATTCTTTCAAACAAAAAAAGCTACACGTGGAAAATTGACCTTGTTTTCATTTTAATTTAATTGTAGTTCAAAAGGTTACCTAGCTACTAGAAATAGTTATAAAACATTTGTTTTTTGTGTCTGAGTTAACTTAAAGACATTTTACGCTCCCACAAGTGAAATGTTATTATTGTTTTGCTATATGTAATGTTTACATAAAGATTTATTTTAGTGAACGAGTTATTACATCACAATTCAGTTAAATGTTACCCAAACGTATTCGCCACGGTTATAATCAATATTATTAAGCTGTTTTTACAATGCCCATATTGATGTCTTACAAAAAGGTATTTCTACGTAATCCGCTAACAATCTAGATCCAATAAGAATTCCGGGTTGATTAATTTCATCCTCATTGATAAACAAAAAGTGGGATTGGATCTGATAATTACTTGATAATCCACTGGAAAATATTTAGCGTTACTTTAGAATTTAAACTTTTAAAATAGTTTTTATATTTTTAATTAGAATGAATAGCTAATTTATGTTCCAAAATATATTCTGTAAACTATATTTTAGAAATTTTAGGCAATTAAATGTATATTTAAATAATTTGTTCTGTTGGTTAAATGGTAATACTAGTCATTAAATCATCTCTTGCGAAACGTAAAAATCTGACTTCTAATTTGTTTATTAGTGTTAATCCTCTTACATGCCCTGCAAAAGCTTTAATTATTTTTTATACAAATAGGTTAAACTCCCGTATTTATGGGCATAAAAAACAAGATTTATTAGCTCTACAATATACTTCTTTACACTTACTTTGCTACTTTACATTAGAATAAAAATATTCATTTATTTATCTATATTTCCTTATTATTAAGCACACCAGCACAAGTATCAGCAATATTTGGAGGATTACGGAGTAGGGCGTCTGCCAGCTTATTTAGAGCTCCCTTTCTGTATCGAATTTCCACTTTGTACTCAGCTGACTCTGCACGATTAATTTGGTTTGGTACCGTTAGGGAGTTCTTCAAATATATCAATTCAAGAGGTGTTATCAAATCAACCCAGAACGTGGAGTTCGCTTATAGAAAAACGCGCAATACGAATAAAGTTTTCCTATTACTACATAATACTTTTGGCTGATAAAAAGGCAATAGAAAAGTTTTAACTTAATTAGGTTTTATAACTGAATTATAAAACAAACATTTTACATAAAAGAGAACTTAGATTTTTGTTAACTAGGTATTTCACTTGAGCCTTTCAATGTAGTGACATAAATTTAATGGAAACATCAAGTACGGGGGGACATTAAAAAATAACTGTTTTTAAAATACTGTACCGAATTAACCTTCCATCTCGTCTTCTTCAATGATCAGTTCGGGCTTGTTTGTGAACTCATATAAATTCATTTTAAGGTTCTAATTTGTGTATAATTTTAGATGGGGGTTTTAAGAAATACATGATTACCATTTTGACACGTAATTATGTAAATTTAAGACCAAACTGTGTTTTGCTTCTTATGTCCCTTAAACGAAACAGTAAGGGCCCGAGACCAAGACCTTGCCGTTACCACATCGGTATACCACTGCACTAAAAAAAATCTTTTAACATTTTCTAGAAAATTAACATAAACCTATATTTTGCAGTTTTTAACATTGAGATTTCAATAATTTTGATTAATTTGTTTAGTGAAAACTAGCTTTATATGCGTTATATAATGTTGCATTGACGACTCCCCTAAACACTTTCACAATCTCCATTTTGTTGGCATCAGTTCCAAGAGACATTTCTGCAGGAATATTGAAAATCCATAGAAAGTTGGGATTCTGCCTAATCTGACTAGAGCACGTTGAACTTAACCACTTTACATGTTAGTTTTTAGTAGTAAAGTATAAATACTTTTGCAAAGTATAGTTCATTAGATACATTTTTAAAATATTATAGTTTAATTTTTCAGTTAAAGGCTTTTAATATTAGAGTGCTATTTTTTTGTATCTTGAATGTAAACGATGCATTGTCTACCATAGAGGATTAGCATATCACAGATTCTCTTTAGTGTTTTCAAGGTAGTTTTTCATGTCATATTCTTTATAAGGCAGTCTCAAAATCAGTTAAATAAGCTCTGATCCTGTTTTGCTTAGTGCAGCATGTGTCTGATAGCTGTCAGTGGTCGTGGGTTGTACAAAATTCCTATTGGGGGTTGTATCAAAATAGTATTAGAGTTTTCAAAGTATTACTTTTGCTAAATTGTCTATTATACATTAATTTTTAGGCTTTTAGGCAGTGGGATTTAAAGTAAGCAACTAGATTTTAATTTTAGATGTATACTTACTTCAATAAATATATTATTTTATCGGTAGATTTTAATTCAGGGATTAGTTTGATTTACATTTTTCATTAAAATATTAAATTATGATTTTTTTTCAATTTAAAAAAGATTAATTTACTCAGTCCTGGTCGTTTAGATAAAATTTTTTTAGATAATTCATAATGCTAAAATATGCAATTATTCTTAATTTTTTGACATAAAAAGGGCTTGGATGTTCTTTTTTTCTAGATTTTTAAATGTTTTTTTTTTCAATATTCTTATTTAAATACTTTACTTGTTGTTTATAAAATTTTATATTACAAAATTAAATAAAATAAAAAGATTATTAAGATAAAATCACTACTAATATATTTGTCATTGATATTATGATGACATCCCTACTTCAACAATATTATAATGGGTATTGTATGTTTTGTGTTAATAAAATATACTCGATACATAAATTAGTCAACTTTAAAACTCACTATCAGATTTTAACTTTAATCAGAAACTCTGTCCACTTGTGGTTGCACGTGTAACGCCAACACATCACCGTAATCTCGGTGATGTGGTTAACTCATATTAGTTCGAAACATTTTGGTTATTAATACAGCCAGCCTCTCCAAATCATGTTAAGTGCGTTGTTGTTCAACTAGCTAAACTTTACACTAGAAATATCTAAACTAAATAAATAAAATATCCTAACGTACTTTGTAGAAAACTTGATAGTTAACATACTTAAGTATAAATTGTAAAACTTTTCGTAAGATATATTTTATTATTGTAAAAAACCTAAATACAACTTTAAGTTACATGTGTGAAATGAGCAAGTTTCAACAATCTTTTGTCGTTCGTGTTATCTGATAACCCGCTGGAGGTTGTCCATGTGAGTAGCCGATTGGCAGTGGAAGGGTCAAAGCAGAGAAGGTATTAGGCGCTCCTGGCGGCAAGGCGTACGAACCACTAACTCCACTATAGAAACTCGGCACAACAGCCGAGGAGTAGTAACTTCCTGGAGTTTGTTGGGCGACGAACTGACCTGGAGAGGAAATAGGAATTCTAGTTTGATCCAAAGTCTGTGAGGAGTAGAACGTAGTCAAGCCTGGTCCTGGTAACGGACCAAGAGACTGTTGAGATTTAGTAGCAGGAGAAGATACGTCCTTGCTTTGGGAATCCGAAGAGGGAGCCGATGTAGAGGAAGAATCCACAACAGTTCCATCTTCAGGCACATCATTAGTTCCCCCTACAGATTGTGTAGAAGATGTTTTCTCCAACCGCTGTTCGTTAGAGATGTAAAATACATTTGGGTAGTAAGCGACCGCGTACTGAGGTTGATTGTATGAGTATGATGATTCTGGAAGAGCGATCTTAGCTCCTGGTAAAGTACTGACGTAGTGACCGTTTCCACTCGATGGTGGGGGAGTTATTATTATTTCTTGTGAAATGCCTTCGTCTCCGCTGTAAGCGATTGGAATCGGGATTGAAGACGGACCAGAGGAAATGGAACTTTGAGAAATCAGAGGTGGGCTGGGCGTTGTAGAAACTACCGATGGAGGAATCGGTGATGAGAATGGAGGGGATGGAGTGGACGGTACTGATGGGAATGATGGTGGAGAATACGTTGAGCTTGAGATACTAGACAACGAAGAAGAAAAGGGTAGGGAAGGACTAGCTGGAAGTGCGGATGATGGATTTGAAATTTGAGAATTACCATCTGAAAACTGAGGTTGAGATGAAACTCTGAAGGAGTAAGAACTAAAGGGCACTTGAGGGGCCGACGGTTGGAAATGACTAGAATATGAAACCGGCTCCGGTTTGGAAGCAACATTTACTGCAGCTTTTGCTCCAAAACTAACCCCAGGAACTCCATAAGACTGAGAAGGAGATCCGCTGGAGTAGTAGTAATAAAGTGGAGTTCCTGATGTGTAGCTCGGTGGGGCTGCTGTAGAAGAGGGGTAAGAAGCACCAGACGAGGGGTAGTAACAGTTGGGAGCGTAGGTAGCAGTGTTGATGTGGTATCCTCCTGTAGTGTAGTAGTTTTTGTTGTACCACGATTTGTATGGATATGTAGCGTAAGGTTTCTTGTAGGACCATCCTGGACTGTAGTTGTATTGCTTCGGCTTGGGGTAAGGGTAGTAGCTACTTCCGGTGAAGGAGTAGGACGGGTAGCTCCAGGGGTTGTAGGTGTTAGTAACACCAGCGGTGTAGGTGGGGTAGCCTCCAGTCGATTTCAAAGCAGAAAACGGATAGAGGACTTTGTCTTTCAGAGATTCCAGTGCTCGTGCTTTATCTTGAAGTGGGTTAAAAATCCCTGAAAGTAACAAATCCATTAAAAACTGCTATAGTCCGTAGAATAAGTATTTGATTTCAAAATCATTTACTATAGATTAATTGAGATTAATTGATTAATCATTTAGATGCATGTAATTTTATCACAACTGTCAATCACCACCACTTTTTTATGTACGGCGATCTAAAGACAATTTGTCACAGTTACAGTATAAACTACGGACAAGTTAGTGGTGACTGCAGTGTCTTTTCTCATCCCTACAACCCTACATGACTGAACCATGTTTGTTACTGTACATCATTAAGCATCTTACTTTCAAATTAACAGATTAGAACTTTCATTTATGATTTTAAAAACTAGCTTCTTTTCAAACCAAAACTAGTACTCAATGCTCTTAAGATTTGAGATTTATTTTAATAAAATAATTAGTAGTGATTCCAATACATACATCACAAAATAAATATCCTACTTTCAATAAATTGAGTACAATATCTATTTAATAAGTAGTTTTTTATTTTTTTTCTATTAACTTGTGGAACCATTTATGAAAATAAAATTACTTATAAAATAATTTTCCTTGGAATAAGTATTTATCTTTTAAGTTTACTCATAATTTATAATAGTTGGTACAAATGGTTTTAAAAATAATCCAGGTAAGGTTACCAATATATACTAAGAATGTATTGTTTGTTATTAGATTTAAAAAAACTTACAACCCGTTTCCTGAGGTTCGAGATCATCTTTGTTTTCTTTGGCGTCGACTTTGATGTCATCCTTCTTGTCAGCTGGTGTAATACAGATGGCAAAAGTCACCAGATTCAGAAGTATCACAAAAGTCTGAAATTTTTAAGTGTGTCAGTAAACATGAAAGCGACGATGTAACCTGCCTCACTTTCCCCGAATATACTTTGACCATTGTTTTGCTAACACATGCTAACTATTTTCAACGCCGACTTCTTGGAAATACAACTTATAATTCTTCCACTGAAGACACACACTTATAACTGAGCTGAGATGACACAGAGCTTTCAAAGAAATGTTTCATGTGTTGTAGTGAATCTAAAGATCTCACATTTTTCTATGATCTTTCAGTTTATATTTTGGAAGACATGCAGAACAGATGATTTACTAACCAGCTTACAAAGGGAGTAAGTGGTAAACATGTAATGTAAACTGGCTTTAAAAGGGGTAGGCCTATTAACAAATTAAATGCTGAAACACTTCATTGAAATGTTTTATGTTTAATTTTATCATAATAATCATTAACTGATTGGTATCAACAGATTTGGCAGTGCAAATATATATATATGTATATGAAGATGTTTACGTATACATTTAGTCCCAGATAGAAATATAAAGTAAGACATTTACTTTTTCATACCTTCTACGTATTTTGTGCTTACAAAGAGACTTAAAATATTTCACTTTTACAAATGAAAGCCAAAACTTACATTGAAACGAATCCATTCCGTAACTGTGTAATAAGTTAAAGTTAGTCAAGTCGGAAGTTGGTATGCTACTTCGAAAGTAAATAATGGTTGCAAGCGACATCTTGAGACTTAACTTAATACAGATGTGCGAAGTGAGATATTAACCAAGTCCTAGGTATTACATTCCCCTGGATTTATCTTTCCCCTAACTAAATATAAAGTAATTTTACACGATTGCCTCATATTTAGTAAACCCATTAATTGGAACATCTTTGTTAATAATGTTACAATTTAACTCGATAGTAATCACAGCTAAATATAAAACCATACTTTAAAACACGTAGGTATATTATGCTAAATTTAATTTAATCTTTTATCTTGGCAAGTGGTTCCAGCCTTCAAACGGAATATGAAGTAACTTACAAATACCTAGGGTTTCACCCAACACACCCATACTGTTCAAATGCTTTTAATACATTTTGCTGTAGTATCTTATACAGAGTGTTTTACTGAAATGGCAAATACTGTGGCTTTTCAACGACAAAAGAGGCCATATGTTGGTATTCCTAGTTTTTTTTTTTTTTTTTTTTTTTACTTCATTGCCGATCAGCTATATGCATTGTTGCATAGTTACTTATAAGATTTAGTGTTATTGGGAATTATTGTGAATAAGACTCAATATGGTGTTTTCGCAAGCTACGTATTGTAGAAGAATACGTTAAAATTAACCGTTTGTGGTTTCCCAACAAAGGTTCAGATTTTTTATCAAATTGTGAATCTAGAATAAAATAAATTAACCATTTGTAGACTTGTAAACAAAAATATACCTACAATACAGAATCTATTAGAGTTAGCAAAAACATCACGTTAGTGTTATTTACAATAAACTCCCAATAACTAAAAACCTCATAGATAACTCTGCAACAATACATATCAGCTTATCGGTTATGAAGTAAAAAAACCAGATACAATCATATAAGCTTATTTGTTAAAATGTGTCTCACAGTACTTGTTATTTGGGTTGTGTTTAAAAGAAAATCATTCAGCATTTGAAAGGTGATAATCAATCAAATTTATAGTAGGTGAAGATATGTATATGAAATGTAAACAGGTTCCGAATCATATTTTTTTCAAACGTTTCTTAACTTTTATCTCAAAATCAAATTAATTTACAATTATAAAATAGGCAAAATTATTAGTTTGATTTTTACTCATTATTTTAAAGATTTGGTAGATAGTTAAAATGGGCATGTAACTAAATGAATGATAATTGTTCATACAGTGTCTTCAAAAAAATTTTGAGCATACTCCATCTATCACGTATTCACATAAATTAGTGGTATTAATAGTAGTAGTAAATATTTTATGACGCTAATGAACTAAGAGACAACAATGTTATGAATATTTAAGCTCTGTAAACATGTCATTTTCTAGAACGAAGAAATTAAAGCTCAAAAAGGATAAAATTATCACATTTGTTCAATCCACATAAATAATCCCAATGACAATAAACTGATGATAATTTGATTGACTTTAAAAACAAAACATCGGTTTTGAACAAATAAATATCTGAATTGTTATTGAGTTATTCTGAGCAAGTGATAATATTTAGCTTATACGCAATAAAAAAAAATAAAGTAAAATTAAATTACTTTATGTCTATGAAATTAATCGTGCAACTAAGAGTGGCCGTTTGTCAACTGCAACGGTCTAGTGTGCTTGAGCTTTCAATGGAAGCATCATTTAGTAATTACTATTCTTTTGTAAAAGTTCAGCAAGGGAATAACTGGATTGAATCTTTCATTTATTCCTTTGTTTCGTTATTCAACACAAAATATCTTTATTTGATGCATGAAATCGAGTTTGCCATTAATTAATTGTATTCTTTTCATAACGTTTTCTAAACAAGATTAATTTATTTTCAAAACACTCATCAAGTATTACTGAGCTTGTAGTGTATACTGTTACCAAAGTTCATCGTCTAATAACATACTTTACTATTTTAACTGGTAACACACCTATTTCTTTAATTTAGTTGTGTGATTCTTGATTAAAAGTTATACTATAAAGTATTATTCTAATCTTTACATGACCTTATTTGGATGAAAGATTTTATTCTAAAAACTATCGGGAATTTAATGTGAGCTTTTTTTATTTAGAAAGTAGGTTAAACACATGTTCTACTTACTCCATGCAACGGACTGACATTATCCATTAGAAACTCTTAAGGAAAGGACTATTATAATCACTGATATCAATACACTTTCTTGACAGTTCAATTAATGTGATCTATACGTTATTGACATTTCAAGAAAACCTATTTGATATAAATCATTAGTATTTCGATAAATTTTCAATTTTGTAAATAACTTACACTTGTGTCGATTATTCAGCTTAGATCCAGTATGTGGAAACCACTTTTATGTCCGTGCTGTAGAAAAATATATTTTGAGAGCATGAACTGCATAGATAGAGAATATCTTTTTTATTTATAAAGGTTTGTAACTGCCGGTTAAAAACATTATTCTCGCATTTAAAAAATCTAACAAATCAAAAAATCGTAATTGAAAGTGTATACCGAAATGAAGTCCGTAGGAATGTTTAAGACGTTTGAATGAAGGTGTCATTATGTGCCTAACAATCTGAAGTGAAACTATTATCAAGTAAATGTGTTTTCAACACTTTGTACAGCAAAAAATGCAGCCTTTTACTAGCAATGATTTTCTACTGCCAGTTTTTAATTTCAGGTCAGTTGTAAAGTATATAAAATATGTAATATAATTTTCAGAAAAAGTTAATCTCCGAAAAAAACGAAACTTAAAAAAGGTTTTCTGATATCATTGTTTAGCTAATCTACATAAAAATAATAAAAACATAAATTTAATAAAATAGTAACTTAAAGCAGCAAAGAAACAGCAAACTGTTCATAAGACTCACCCGTAGTGTGATAGCCATGGTGGAAACGCACCAAGTGACTGGTGGTCCACTATTATATACATATATACCACAGGAGTGCTAAGTAGTCACTGAATGAATGGGAGGTCATTCGCTGTAGTAGCCCTGGCCTGGCGTGGTGATAATGACGATAAGTGGTGGGAAGAGTGAGCAACCGACGAACAACGTGGCCGAAATGGCAACAGAGCAATATGGTGGATGCTCAGTAGAGTAAATCGTTGTTTATAAAGTGACAGATCAATCCAATGTTCCGTAGGTGAGTATTATGCCGCTTCAAATTATTTATAAATCCGTGTAAATGTGTGTAAAAGAAAAGCCATATATCTAACAAGGTTATGTAAGTAACAAAAGAAACTTAATGGAAACAGTGTACAACAACAAGGTGTTTTCAATAGTTAACAATAATTGTGTTCGTATGCAGAAAATATTTAATCCAAAACCCTCAGTTTTTACATGTCAAACCTTGGATAAAAAAAACTTATTTGTTTTAACCATGTAAAACAGAAACAGTAACTAGTCTGCCAGGAATTATTAACTGAAATGTTATACCATTGTATGTAATGCTTTTATTCTACAAAAAACCCAATAAAATGTAAAGAAAAGCGTACGTATGTAAATAATCAAATTATGAAAAACAAAAATTCGTTAGGGACTATTCAATAGACAGATTTATAAACAATTCTTATTGTTATTTTGTGTGCATCCTAAACTGGCATATATTTCTTCGAGAGCATGCAACGTTACCAAGAGGAAAGGGTTTATGCAAACAATGAAAAGAAATCTCGGTCTTTAATGAAAGAACAACGTTTTAAAATCGTATAAACTAAAGGAGAATAATGTATTATTCTTGGAATCTGCATTAAATAAAGGCAAATTGTCTCAGGCAACTAATTCTATATTGATAATTGTTGAAAGTAACAAGACTTTTCTCGTGTTTTTGAAGTACTAGTACACTTTTTATGAGGCAGACATTTTAATTTCATTTTTTACAGAATTTACGACAGAATGCATCATTTATCACATCTCTTTGATTCCTAATTCTAAGAAGATTATGAAAATTTTATGATGTTCAAAGACATAAAAAAATATGAGGCCGAGCTAATCTTAAGTTTCATTTTCTAAAATAACTCAATCATTAATCAGTACCATAATGTGTTTTCTTGCCTTTAGGATAAGGTTGTTTTTTTTTTCATTTCCTGCGAGCAGTTAATCATTTTCACTTTCGATGTGTAAAAATAATCTCTATTTAGATATATAGGCAATTTAAAAGAATGCGTTCCAATTACTATTGTGATTGATACTGTTGTATCAGCTATATGTAAATTGAGCAGTAAAGAATTTTATAAATTAAAACAATATACTACGTTTACCATTTACAATGTTGTAAACTTGCGTTGTAATGTGTAAAGGTTTCAACTTCAGGACCACCTGTTTTTAAACTTTTTTAACCAAATAGGAATTATTTTTATTGGCTATGGTAAATAAATCGTTGGGATAGGAAGAGTATATAAGTGTGTTACGCATTAATTCAATTGAGTTCCATCATAAAAAAACCATCCTAACAAAACACGTTCTATTGAATAATTTAAATAACTGCTTTTTTTTACTTGTATCCTCCGACAGTAAGTATGGTTAGTTCTTCTTTTTTTAACGCATCTTCTCTTAAAGGACCAATTTTTGTGTGTGTACCTAAAAAATATTAAGGGTAGGGTCTACAGCCCTAGTTTAGTCCTGTATCATCACACAGCTATAAAACTATTGTCTATTGGTAGAATGTAAATCATATCCTATTAATCATATGTTCCGTAATCTAACCACGACTACAGTGTACACTAGCTATGTCCCATATATTACTTGGCATATTATGATAAAATCGCAGCTTAGAGATCAAGATAACGGAGACATGAGTAGATAAACATGTCTGTTTAAAAACTTTTACTTGCTTTTAATAACAGATACAATTTCAAATAGCGAAATGTATGCAATTAAAATCCTATAACGCAGTTATGTAGAAGTGGAACTTATACAGTAGGTTTCAGGAGAATACAAACTTTTAAGATTTAATTTACTCTCTAAACTTATCTCTGTGGTAGATCCTGAACTTCACAAGAACAACTCGTTTTAATTATTCAACTGGTTTCTCCCGTTGTAACTTATAATGTAGGAACAATATTATTCGTTACCTAATATTTGTTTCACTTTTAACATGACGGTTAATAATATTGGCACTGTGTAAATGTTTCCAATGATACAGTCGTTAATAATTAATCGGTTAGGACCTAATAATATAACATTGCTGGGGTCCCTTCAAATTTGCTGGTTGGATGTGATGTTACTCTGTTGTTCAATTATTGTGTCAAACTGCCTTATGTCAGTTGTATTTATAAAATCGCTTATTCCCTATGTAGGAAATTCGCTAAAAATGTGTTATGTTCAGAAAGCAATTATTTTTTGTAAAAGGCAAATGGTGTAGACTGACTCATAAAACAACGTTGTGTATGAACAATAATCCATGCTGTGTTTTGTGTATTCTAATATGCTTTAGGGTATCTCTTAATTATTTCTTTGCATATGTTTGAAGTAAATAGTCAGCTCCATTTCGACGTCGAACAAACCTTTTAGAGGTAATGATAGTCTGTTATCATTTTTAAGAGTGATTTATAAGGACTTGATAGTACTTTTTAGCGACTATATTGACTATGATTATAGTCATTCGATTGTTGGTTTTTGGCCAATACATACCGGAATACTGTACAGTATTTGGATTTTATATTCTTGAATACAATCAATTAACTTCAATAAACCTATAGATATTTTCTATTTTGAACATAAACTTCCAACTTTGAACTTTTATATTAGTTCAAACCCTATTATTTATACATTTTAATTTGTCATTCTAGGATAAAAACTATAAATATAAAACCTATGAGCATATTAAACTCGTAACTGTACTGAGGATTTTCATTCCATATGCTCACAAATGATTAGTACAACCCATAGACTGTTATCGACAGAAAAGAATGATATTTGTTCAGTTTATCGAACTGCTGTTTGGACGCGGATCTGAAAACTCAGAAGTCTTCAAACATTACAGCACTCGACCTTGAGGATTAGCCAAGGGTTTTGACACCTCGGGTAGGAGTGGCGGCACTTTGACCACACACAGACCACTCTCAACACATACTTACATAAACACACACAGCTAAGGTTTACTGAACTGCCTTTCTTACTACGCACACATGGTCATCTTCGGATGTTTGGTCAATCTGTTCTAATCTTGCTTTTATTCTGTTAGTTTTTATTGGCTGCCAATCTCGAAGAAGAAAATTGTATTTTGAAGTTTGACTCTTTTAACGCATGGGGACAAGATGAAAATTTTGTTAAGTATTGTAGAAAATAATACTATACTGTAAATAAATAACGCTTTTTTGAGGTTTCAATATTCATAAATGGCGTCTAGGTATATAATTGAAGCTTGATAAATTTGTTACTTACCCCTTAAATTCATACTAGAATACATTGAGATAAAACGAACTATTTTTTTCAGCATTAGGTTTTAAAACCCAAAAATCGTTCACAACCAAAATTATGTCTACCGCAGTCAGACCCCATCGCTCAAACGATGAACCGCCTCATTTACCCCATAAGTATCACTTTGTTCCATAAAGTAAAATGTAATAACATAAAACATGTTGCTAACATTAAATAACTTATTGGTAGCATGGTAGAGCAATCTTTAACACTTGGAGATAACTTTCGTTTACCGCGGCCCAATCCTTCATGGTCGTTTTATAGGACATTAACTGGTGTTACGGCCCTTTGTGGCACGACGATAGCCATAAGATCGCAACTGTGGGAAGTGAGAAAGGGGTTTCTTGCTTATATACTCAGAGATTATTATATTATTAAGTCTACTAAATATTATAATAGTGGTGGTTTAATATTTACCAGCTGTAATATGATTTTGTGTACCTGACTTAAACATACAGTGTGTAAATTAAGTATGGAAACAAATCTGTATTTTTAAAACCGAAATAGATAGAAATATTCTATTTGTGGAAATAATAGTTAACAAAGATTCCGCAATTTTTCACATCAAAAATATTTTTTTACCCCCCTTACGGGGTAGGTGGTGGGGGTGACTTATTTTTTTTCAAATAGCAACCCCTATTGAGTGACCCCTCATTTTGAAGGGTTTGTCAAAAGAAACACAATGACGCAAATCCGAGGTGAATATCTCACTCCTAGCTAAAATGGCGGATATTCCAAAATTTGATTTACTGTACGTGAAAAGCACCAATTTCACAAATAATGGAAAGAAATCTGTATTTTTAAAATCGAAATAGATAGAAATATTCTGTTTGTGGAATTGATTGTTGACATAGGTTCCGCAATTTTTTTTAATTAACAATATTTTTTCAACCCCTTTAACAGGGTAGGGGGTGGGGGTGACTTATTTTTTCAACAACAACCCCTATTAAGTGACGCCTCATTTTGAAGGTTTTGTTAAAATAAAAAGAATGACGCAAACCCGAGGTAGATATTTCACCCCTAGCCTAAATGGCGGGTGATGAAAAATTTAATTATTGTAAAAAAGCACCCATTTTGGAATATCCGCCATTTTAGCTAAGAGTGAGATATTCACCTCGGATTTGCGTCATTGTGTTTCTTTTGACAAACCCTTCAAAATGAGGGGTCACTCAATAGGGGTTGCTATTTGAAAAAAATAAGTCACCCCCTACCACCTACCCCGTAAGGGGGGTAAAAAAATATTTTTTATGTGAAAAATTGCGGAATCTTTGTTAACTATTATTTCCACAAATAGAATATTTCTATCTATTTCGGTTTTAAAAATACAGATTTGTTTCCATACTTAATTTACACACTGTATATGTATACCAAAATTATGGACTAGTATTTATTTTAATCTATCAACTATAAATGGTTTGGTTACTTACATCGTAAAATAACACTGCCTTTCGCTGATTTTAATTTTCATTTACATATAAGCTTAAAGTTGCATTTATCAAGCCGAAAGTACTTTAACTAAAGCTTGTTGATCTTTGTGAATGCAGAGAGTGTGAGT